GTTTATCTCCTGGAGTTTATACAGTGATAAATAACTAGACTTTTGTTCTTACTGGAGGTCAGTGGAGGCAGCTGAAGATCTGTGTTTGTTCGACCCCATGTGACTCACTGTTGTGTCAGAAGTGTGTCACTGCAACCTCAGCCAGCCAACACACACACATACACACACACACCACCACACACTGAGCAATGATGTAAAGCTCAACAGAAGGGCTCTGGTGAAAAATGCACCCAGAGTTAAACAGAAACACACACACACACACACACACACACACACACACACACACACACACACACACACACAGGTCTAGAAATAGCCTGGAGTTTGGTTACTCTAGTGGCAGTGTACTACACTCAGCTGTAATCAGATGGATCAGACTGGAGGTCAGACAGAGGACATTTTACACTCAGATCACGAGAAAATAAATAGTGACCACTGCTGGTTGTGCTCCAGTGTGGTCCATATTTCAGGTCTTTCTCCACAGCCTATACTAATTAATCAATACTAATTGAATTCTGGTGAAATTCTTCTACATGATGTTTCAGCTGTGATTAGTGGTAGAGTTCACTCTGTGTTATCAGCATGTTCTTCACACAGCATCCAGATAACGGTCAATGCTGAACCACAGGCTTGGACTCAAATGCAGACACAGACTCAGTTCAAAAATCAGTCCTTTTAATCAGAATGAGGTCGGTACACAGGTGATCAGTCAGAAGGGCAACAGTGTCCAAATCAGCAGGCAAAAGGCAAAAACAGGTCAGGAAACTACTGGCTCTAGAAACTCACAAGGAAAAATGCTGGAACGCTGTCACGAGTGAACAAGACGAGCTGGCACAGAGGGAAGGGGACACTAAGACTATATACTCAGGAGGAGGGGAGACAATGAGACACAGCTGCAACACAATAGTGCAGGGCAGGTAATCACACAGGAGGGAAACACATGAGGGCAGGAAGTAAAGGACCTGAAAGGCGACAAGAGGTGAGTATCAAAATAAAACAGGAAGTACAAGACAAAGAACACTAGGAGAAACAAAAAGGTAACTAAACTATCCAGACAGATAACCTCAGATTCAGATCCATAAGAAGATATATTTGTGGTTTTAGAAACCAAAAACCATCACAGTGTATTTTTACATCTCCTCTCTCAGGCTTCTCTCTGGAGCTCTAGTAACAACAGGTCAGTGAGCCAAACAGAAGAGAGGAGCCTCTGAGCCTCTCTTCTGATTGGCTGCAAGCGGCAACCTCCAAGGCTGAAAAATGAAGAACACTGAAGAACCAAAAGCTGCAGTTCCTCTAGTGACCACTAGAGTCTGGCCCCAACAGTGAGTCAATCCCCATAGACTACTATGTTAAGACGTCCAACTTTACAGCAGAAATAAACATGTTTACAGCCTGGTACAAAAACTGTTTTGGTCTCTAGAGCTAATTTCCTCCTTCATGACAACTGTTTACATTTTGATTAGGACTAAAGTTATGTATAATTGAGGGCGTGGCCTCAGACAGACAGATAGACAGACAGATAGATAGATAGATAGAGAGATAGATAGATAGAGAGATAGATAGATAGAGAGATAGATAGATAGAGAGATAGATAGATAGAGAGATAGATAGATAGAGAGATAGATAGATAGATATTCCTTGGTCTCAGTGGTGTTCAGAAGGAGGCAGTTCTTGTCGCTCCATTCACTGATAGTACTCATAGTCAGGTCACCGTATTCTTGCCAAAAGCCGACATGCAACAAAGTCTCAGCTCGACACCCCCTCACACACCCTCCTTTTTGCCCATTTTTGGAATAGCTGGGAGTTAGGGGCGGAGTAAGGTACTGGCAAGATGGCGATGAAACCGCTCTTCAGAAACCTGTGGGTGATGTCACGGAGGCTACGTCCACCTTTATTCACAGTCTATGATTGGCTGACTGTTTCCTGAGTGATCAAATAAAAATACAGCAGATTTCAGGTAAACACTCAGAGAATGGGACCAGGTGGGCAGCACTTAGGGCGTGGCTGAGGGCGGTGACTGATTTGTTGTGACATCAAAAAGTTCCAGAAGTCCTGACGGCTGGTTTTAAGGCTCAGAGTCTGAATACAGGCTGTGTGTATTTCTCTGTGGACTGAGCGCTTTGATACTTTCATAGTATTAGTATAGAACCTAGACCTGCTTTATAATCAGACATGACATGGACATCTACCTTTATACAATATACAACCTTTTAATGGTTTTTGGAAACAATGGAGCTCTATGGCTCAGAGGAATCAGATATGTCAGGCTTTGATACACACACAATACTGGTTAGTAGGAGATATTCAGTGTTATTTTGGTCTTTTCATGCATGGGAACTGATAATAAAAAGAAAAATACAAATTGTCATCAGCCTTGTCCTTGAACTGTAAACTGTAGGTTGAGGGCATGTGTGTATACTACAGAAATACTTTCTAGGTGCACCGTTTTTTACAAGGCACAATGCACTAGACATACATACAGTATGAAGTGACATTTGTGCAGGAATCCTACGTATCATTACATTGTGGGCTAATCCACAGAGGTACGAGGACAAGAAGACCCTTCAGTTGATGCAGCTGTGAAGTGTGAAACATAAATAGACCGTGCAGGATGCATATCACCCTGTACATACTACTTGCTGTATACCGTCAATATTTCATGATCCAGCTGCAGAAGCACTGTTTGTTGCATGTTGCTCCTTGTTGAACATGATGTTGTGTACGATGGACACTGTGTTGTCTCTGCTGACCTCCTCCACGAGCGTCTCTGGGGACAGTAAACAGTCTAACATTGCTAGTGTGAAAGTATATGGTGCCCAGGAGTGCATTAGTCCAGTGAACCATGATGTAAATCTACTGCAGAAAATGAATACCATGAAGTATGTTATCTGCCCCCCCACCCACCAACCCACTGCTCTCATATGTCTCCATCTCTGTTTGTGTTTTCATGTTCTTTCCAGAGGAACATAGTTTCACAAGTTAATGTAAATAAACAGGCTGAACTGTTTCTGTATTAAACCAGACCAAGATCTTTAACCTGAACCAGGATCTGTGAGAGTCTGAACAGAACAAGGAAACAGTTTAATGATGTGGAGTCACTACAAGTGGAGATAGTTGTGTGAGATCAGATATCATGGTAAATATTTTTGTATCAACATGTTTACATGTTGTCCAATACATAAATTAACAACACATCCTCATTACATGAATAGAAAAGATGATCAGTATGATGTTTCTGTCAGAACTTATTTGCTGTTTTAGATTAATTTATTTTTAGTATTTATTTTAGTTTAATTTATGGAGACAGTTTTATATTTGATATAACCCCTAAATTTCTTTATGAACACCAGTGCTGTCCTCTAACACTACAATAGATGCAAATGTTCAAACATGTCCTATAAGTTTATAATCTACTAATGGATTTACTACATATGCTGTGAAGGAAAATGCCCTAATCTTGTGTCACAGAGGTCTTAGCGTGGAGACTGGGGGGCATGGTGCTCTTACATACTGCAAGACTTTGACAGTGGAGATCAAGGTGTGTTCCTGTTCCCACATTTGGTTGGTTCACATCATAGATTTCTTTTATTTATTTCAGGCTAGGTTGAAACTTAATATCTCAATACTGTCCAGCCCAAATATCACAGTATACAACAGTATCATAAACACTAGGGGGCTGGACTGCAACAGTGGGGCCAGCCCTATAATCTGGACTGACTGACTGACTGACTGACTACCTGACTGACTGACTGATTGATGGTACTTCCACCCATGCTCAGTGGAGTGCTGAGCCGCTCTCATTTCCCAGCTGCGAGGAGCGCTTCCACTACACTGAGCCTCGCCTCCATTACAGCAAATAAACTACTTTCATTCCACGTATCATTATTACTAAAGGAGGCAGAGGAATAACTAAACATAAGACACACCGAGCAGAGAGAGAGAGAGCAGGAGAGAGGGAGAGAGAGAAGTCATCGGTAACGAGGCTTCGTACTAACGACTATGACCAACTCTACATATCAAACAGAAGGAGTCAGACATAAAGACCTGCCTCTAATAAAAGTCTGTTACGTTCGAGAACTGAAGTAAATAATAACTACCTCTCTCTCTCTCTTTCTCTCTTTCACACTATGACTGTCATAAAGGCAAAAGCCTGAAAAAAATAACTTAAAAAAAAAAAGATAGTCTGTCTCTTCTAACTTTCTCTCTGAGTGATCATGTTACAGTAAGTACAGCGGAAATTACAGCTCAGTCTTTGCCCTTCATTTATGTGTTTGGTGAATTTTTCAGACAATGTCTCAGTTATAAAATCAGGATTTAAGCAGTCAGGTTGTATTTCAGGTTTCAGGTGTTTTGTCACATACCAAAGTACAGGTACAATGTACAATAGGCCCAAACCTATTTTCTTTTTTTCTCTGACGTCTTCTCACTGAAAAAAATGTAAAGTCATCATTCAGGATTTGAATCAGTTTATGTGTCGTTCCTTCACTGTCAATTAAAGTTTATTTAAATTTGTAATAAATAATACATAAAAAGATTTAGTCTTGATTCTGTATGCTCTCAAACACGTCACATCTGGAGTTTTCAGGCTACAGAAGAATTAAAGTGTAGTTAAATATTATGAAAGTAATCCCATGCTGCCTCGTGCAGTTGTCTTGAACCAAATCAAACTTCCCCTGGCTTTGTCACAAAAACAATTACAGGTGTTCAGATGACTTTACCAGTTTCTAAATATATTTTGCATCTGTTCCCAATAGGCAACAGTAGTTCTGCCTGACTGTAATATATCTGAGGGAAGCAGGTCAGAGCAGGATTACAGACTATGTGTGTGTGTGTGTGTGTGTGTGTGTGTGTGTGTGTGTGTGTGTGTGTGTGTGTGTGTGTGGGTGTGTGTGTGTGTATAATAAAACTGAGCCATCTCACCACTGACAGTAAAAACACAAAGACTGTTGAACAGTATTTGGTCAACCTTATCCTTATTGTCGCTCTTTTCTTGCTTCCAGCCAATGAAGAACCTCTATGCAGACGACGTCTCGCCGCTGTATCCACGAGTAGGCCCATACTTCTCTGATGGGCGCCGGCGGGTGGACTACGTGCTGGCCTACCACATCCAGAAGCCCACCAGTGTCCGGCGCCGCTCATCCAGGTTCGCCGACAACAACTTCATCCGACGGCTTCGCCGCAGCCTGAGCATGAGGAGCAGCCGAGCGCCACTGCAACCGAAGGAAGACCCGGAGATCGCCGCCCAGGAGCAGCGGACGGACTACCACGAGGATGACAAGCGCTTTCGGCGGGAAGAGTTTGAGGAAAACCTCCTGGAGACGGGGCTGGAGCTGGAAAAGGATGAAGGGGTGAGAAAGGGGGGAGGTGTGTACAGATGAATGTGATGGTGTGTCGACAGGGCAGGTTCAGGGGATGTGATTGATGTGTGGACCCTTACAGTCCTGGCTCTCCTGGGATCTGGGTCTGAATTCCATTTCCATATCTTGTTCTCCTCTGGTCACAATATTTCTGAGTTCACCTCTATTACTTCAGCTGCTGAGTGGATCAATACATCAGCTGTTGTCAGTGCAATTAGTTTCCCTGATTACCCTGCTCTACAGACGAGCTGCTGTTTGCTGGAAATTGACCGTTGTCATCTTTTATTTATGAGCTCAGGCTTCAAGCACATTCAGGATCAGAGTCAGAACAGATCACTGATCCAGCATTGACTTAACTCTTCTATTGTTCCTTAGTGAGACCTGTGGGGCCTGAATCAGCAGATCTGTCCTCTTCTTTAAATACACAAGGGTGAGAGGTGGCAGTGGTATGAAGATAGGTGTGTTTAGGACTACGTTTTTATTTATTTAACTTTTATTTATTGAGGTGAGTCCCATTGAGATAGAAATCTCATCTTCAAGAGAGACCTGAACGTACATAAAAACATGATAAAAACAATTCATGAGCAGATAGTCAAAAAAGAATTTACAATACAACAAACAATTAAACAAACAAGTATTTTTATTGCACCTCCTTTGGGAGAGGCCAAAGACATATTTCCACTGAAATGGACAATAAAGTCAATCAAATCAAATCAAATCAAATCAAATCAAATCAAATCAAATCAAATCAAATCAAATTAAATTAAATTAAATTAAATTAAATTAAATTAAATTAAATTAAATTGAATTAGATTAAATCAGATTAAATCAAATCAAATCAAATCAAATCAAATCAATTCATTTTAAATAATAAACAATACAATTACAAAATTGTAATCAGAATAACACACAAGGAAAGGTTTAAAATCTTATTTCTAAAATGTGGATGGCATATCAAACTATTCATTTTTAAAGTGCTCTGTAGCTTATTCCATGTGTCTGAGTTTACGTTGGATACATGGAGTGTTAGCCTTTGTAAATGAAGGGTACATTGAAGGACCTCTACTCTACTGATGTCCTCTGCCACAGTCCCAACACAGTTTATAATCATCCCAAAATATTTTACTATTTCAAATGGATAAAACTTTATTTCACTGTAGAGCTGTGAGCAGAGCAATGAGTCGCCCAACCCCTCTGTGCCGCTCTCGCACTCTCTCTCTCTCTCTACCTCTCACATACACACATTAACAACAAACCAGTCTGTCACATTGGCTAAAAACAACAACTCATACCTGCTCATTTGCATATAGAACAAGGAAGTGAGATCTGAACACAAGTGGTCACTGGAGATGCATATTAATGCCAGTCGCGAACAGGGCCGGAGACACCAGATCCAAAAGGGACCAAAAGGGATCTGAGGACAATCAGACCTGATCCCAACACACCCAAAATCCACTCATCATCTCACCTATTTATATATATCGTCTATAACAACATAGAGATGCAGGAGTCAACTCATGTGTTTAGGTATTACACATTCTGACACACGGCGACAGAATAAGACCATTAATAATATAATAGACTATTAAACTGGTCTGGTACTACTACTACTACTACTACTACCAGGAATCAAGTGGACCAGTGACCACTGTTTTTATCAGGGTCATGCTCTTATACCAGGTCAGATACTGCAGATAATTCAATATCATTCCCATATTGAACTCAGTACAAAGCTATTAATTAAAAATGTCTCCTCATGTCAGGTTATTAATATTATTTACTGAACAGATTTGAATGTTAATATTTTTGCAGGTACACACATTCAGCTTTCACATTCAGCTCTCACTGTTATGAAGACAGGATTCTTGACTCCAGTTAATAGTGGTCTCAAAACGGTCTCTGTGGGTAGATGTTGTGGTTACATTTTAATAATGTAATGAAATTAACATCCAATGTGTTCAGAGTTCATTAAAACAAACCAGCTGACTGATTTCAGTTGGTTATCAGTCACCTGACCCGCATCTCTGAACTGACTCCAGAGCATCTTTTTGATATCATTCAGTTTATTTCTCTGTCTTATCTCATCTAAACATAGATGTTTGCTCGAGCCTGGTCCTGGTAGCTCTCATGTCACTGCTGTGTGTTATGTGAGTGAACCCACGGACACACAGACGTTTGTTTTCATTAGATCTTTTCTCTTTCCTGTAGAAAAGATGGAGATACATTCATTCTTTGCATGAAGCAGATTGATTCTTAATCTGTTCTGAGAAAGGCTTTTATCACAAACAACATGAGCACCTACCACAGGAAACAAAAAGCAGGGAGGTGTGAACATGAACTCTTTATTTAGACAGTCGTTGTCATGGTCAGGGTGTCAGTCTTTGTTGTGTAACTGCAGATACTACGGTGAATCTTTGGTCACCGGACAAAGCAGATGTAAACGTGTTTCTATACATACAACAATCAGAGAAATGTGAACTCAGACATGTTCTTTGCCTGCACAGTAGAAAGCTTGATGCTGACCTCCTTTCTTTGTTGTATTTAGCTGAACAAAATGAGAAAGGAAAAAGAAACAGTATGTGCGACAGATCCAAGGCTGAGGAATACAGTACATACATACACATCACAAAGTGAGAGTGCCCTTCACTTTTCTGACATATGTGCAGTCAGTGAGGACAGTCTACATGGTCTCAAACTTTGAACTGCAGGTGTACGTCCAGATAGAGTCGGGCTGTGTCCACATTGATACCTTTTCATTTTAAAACTAAAATGATCTCCATCAAGACGACTCTTTTAGCTCCATATCAGACCGATCTCCATCCAGACTAACACACCTTAAAACACATCACATGACCATTCAGATACACCGGGCATGTGTGAGCTGGTGGAAACAGGAAGTAGATTGTCTACTCTGCAAGTAGTTAGTTACAGACAGCTGTAGTATTAAAATAGAGAATGTAACTGAACAACAGCTGCTAGCACAAACAGCAAGGTCAGTAACACTGCAATTCATTATCATGTTGTATTCACCACAGGTAGACAAGGCTGATGAGAGCCAATCAGGAGAGACCGTGGGTGTCATCGTTTCCAGAGGTCTCAGTTTCTGTCCATTCAGATACAACACAACCCCAGAGTTTTCAAAATAAAACAGGTTCAGCAGAGTTTCTGGAAGTCTCTGATTAGAGAGACGAGATGAGAGATGAGTTTTAAAAACTAAAATGTAGTAGTGTGGACGTAGGCTTAGGCAGATGACGAAGTTTACATCTCACAGATCCACCCAGAAACCATGAACTGGCCTTCACTCAAAATTTTATTCAACACAGGACTAATTACTGAGGAAATCAGCAGAATGAACCCAGAACAACTAATGACCAACAACAGAAGAAGTGATCGGTCTTGTCCCTAATTTGTTTTCCTCCAGCACAGATTCATAGATTTAGTTAATGACGTTCAGTAAAAGTTAGAAATGTTAATTCCACTTCTTTCTTCTTAATAACAATAAAATAAACAATAAATTACAAAATAGACAGATAATAAAACATCTTGAATTTACATTGCCTGTAATGTTTATACAATAAGCTAATGTTTCATTTAGGTTTTTAAATCCTTACAATATATTGTTTTGTTCTCCATCTGATCCCCATGTTCTCATTCATCAAGACTGCACAGTTACACAGACACAAACACACGCAGTCATTTTCCTCCAGTATTGACTGAAAGGAGCAGATCAATGACAGGAGTTCTCATTAGTCAGCAAAATGATTTGCTGCAGATCCATTTAATAAAACCTGGACGTACTTTTCCTCCAAGAAATAGTTAAAATGCATTTCTACTAATGAATTCATGGGTAGTTTTCTAAATGTATCAAAGTAACTAATCAATTAGAATTGACCTGAAATCCTGGCACACTCAAGCCACCATATATTCAAATTAAACTGTGATGCTGGGTGAAAGTTTCTTCTCCTATTTACAGTACATGCACAGATGAAACCACACCTTTTCTTATATCTATGTATGTCCGTATCTTTGCTGCATCTAGTTCCTGCTGCAGCAGTTTACAATGTATCATCCACTGCTTCTCATCAGGAGGACAACAAAGCGTTTGAACATTTTACCTTTGAATACATGGTGTGATATACACAGTGCTCTTAGTCAGCTACTTTGAGTTGGATGTTATGTATTCCTATATCCAGACAGGTCAGTGTACTGAACTGTGTGAAGTGAGTCTGGCAGTGAAGGAGGTTTTACATAAGCGTAGAGGCTGCAGAGATAATCTCATATGCGATGAAGATATGAGTTTGTGACTGTTTACAGTGGTGGTTCAGACATTTTGAGCTGCCCCATGTTCCTGCAGTGTGTTCAGTATTTAAATATCGCAACTCTGGTTGTGTTTCAGAATAAGATCCCTGGAATCGGCTTCTTGAAGATCCATGCTCCCTGGAACGTCCTGTGTCGAGAGGCTGAGTTCATGAAGCTCAAAATGCCAACAAAGAAGGTACTCCACCCATCAGTGTCGACTCCACTCGTCAGCATGGACTGCTTCCCTGAGGCTGAGTGCCTGCACAGCTCTCAGAGCTGCAGTCTACCGTGGTGAAAAGTGTGAAGAGGTTTCCTCTTGCTCTGTCCTTTGCATTCATGTAGTGTTGTAACACCCTAATGGGGCCATTTTGTGGTGACAGCTTTTGTAGGCCTGATAGGGAGGACTGTGGAGTACAAACCTCACCACAGTCTACTTTACAAAAATTCCCTCATTATCTATTATTACCTGTCATTTTAATTTTCATGTTTAATGATAACGAGACAGAACATTGAACGTTATGAACGTGGTGAACGTTATGCTGCCTGTAACATCATCCAGCGTGAGCCTTTTGGCGGTGGGTCAGTGATGGTCTGGGGAGGCAGATCCTTGTAGGGTTGCACAGACCTCCATGTCAGAGCCAGTGGTACCCTGACTGCTGTTAGGTACCGGGATGAAATCCTCAGAGTGACTGTCAGACCTTACGCTGGTGCAGTGGCCCTGGGTTCCTCCTGGTGCAGGACACTGCCCGGCCTCATGTGGCCAGAATGTGTAGGCAGTTCCTGGATGATGTTGTTACGTCATTTTGTTTGAGCAGTATATGAGCAAACTGTTTACAAGAAATTAAATGGAACTCTATGGACCTGTAGCCAGGGGTTGCCACCTGCGATGTGTGAAAAACTGGAACACGGGGTGGGGTGGGGGTGGGGGCTGTTGTGACATCTCGTCCATCTCTCCCCCCATTTAACCACACCTTGTTTTTTTTGTTTTTTGTTTTATTAACGCTCTTGCTACCAACCGTCTCAATCCTCTCTGCCTGAATTCAAGGTGGGGTCATGGATGTTAATTTGCATGTCAGTTGCTATGTAATAAGGTAAACTTTCATATTTCTGCTACCAATCAAATAAAAGTATAGGCATGGTCACTATTTTGTTTTTTTATATGTTTACAGACACAGGATTGGACATAACCAGCAAGAAAATAGAAAAGAAAAAGAAATTAAATTTAACTTAGAAGTGCATTTTCTCAAAAACTAGGATATTAACTTTCTGGGACAGTTGCTCAAAAAAGAGAACACTCCTGGGAAAACTGGGACGGGGGGGCGACCCTAGTTGTAACCTGAATTCAACCTGTCATCCAACTCTGCTCTAATGTGTCCAAATGACAGACAACCTTCAGATTTTTCCTTCATTGTTAAAACAATTTAGTCAATGACTGAATTAACATGACCACTGGTCAAATGTAGATGTATTGGATACTGGTACAAAACACAAAACATCAGCTGACTCAGTCCAAAACCTCCAACCACACTGTTTGAATCCTGGAGTCCCTAGTGAACAAATAATATATTACAACCTCAGCAGTTAGGATTCAGACTATGCCACCAGAGCCTAAGACCGGGTCACCAGAACATGAACCAGTTTGAAGGCTTTTCTTTTGGGTAGAGATGAAGCAGTTTCTAGTCTGTCCATGTCAATGCTCTTAAAGTTAGTACAGGTGTCCTGAAAGGTTCTAGTTTCTGTCCTCTACTATTCACCATATACATAAATAATATCATTTCTACCATTCATCACTGAAAGGTACATATTTTTTGCAGATGATACTATTTTATGTGTCGGCCTTTCTATTAATCTGACCAGGGCAAAGCTACAGTCTGTTGCTTTAGATGCATCAGATCAGTCTAATCAAACATATAAATACAGACACAGAAGAGAATCCTGCCTGTTCAAATCCTGCTGAGCTCTAGAACATAGAACCTCATAGAAACAATGGATAGATCACTTCGGCTCTGTTCAGCTGTTATTATGTCAGATAACAGGACATTCCAACTTTGGCTCTTGAAGAAGAAATCCTAATCTCATTGCCTCACTTGTTTAACTTCCTCTGCAGGTGTATGATGTGAAACAAGGCAGCAATGTCGTGGAGAAGATCCGACTGTTCATTCACAAAGTCACAGCTCCGCTCCATCCAAAGGTGGATGCCAACAGACCAGACAGCGTCAAATCCCTCTCTCATCCTTTCTCCAGGGAGAAGCAGCATCTGTGAGTCAAAACCTTTTCCTTTCAGTTATTACCAGAAGAATGGAGATCTCTCTGAGCAGCAAACACAGTCTTACATTTGTATTTCAGTCCACTGGTCACTGAGGTAACCAGTAAAAGCTTTTTAAGGAGCTTATGTGAAGATATGTTGGTTTCACTGAGTGTGAGGTGTTTTGGATGAGCGGCTCTTGAGAAACCTTTAAAATGTAGAAAAGATATATTTGAAACGTTCTCGAGAAGTCCTCATCCAAAAAAACTTTACAGTCGACACTGCACTTCGTCAAGGTCCTCAGCAAGATACAATAGCTTGATGGTGATTGGATGAATGATTGTCGAGATATACAGATAGACTTACTTGACGAGAAGAAAAAGGCAGAATTGCACTATCAGGGCAGTGCAGCAGCTGGACACTTTACAGCGTGCTGCTTTCATTGTGTGATGCTTTTCATTTGAAACCAAGTCATTGATGTTATGGATCCAGGGGCACAATTAAGAAACCTGTGGACAGATATTTCTAAACCAAGAGCCTACACTTTTACACATGCATCTTTTCATTCTTTGTTTATTTGTTTCTCGTTGTTTGCTTATTTAAAGCTGCAATAATCAATATTCTCACGTTAACAATGGATCAACTGACAATGAGTCATGTGGAGGAGATTGTTCGTATGATGACCCCACAGAAAAACGATCACCAGCCCTGCAGCTCCTCTCAGCTTTATGGGGCCTTTCAGTCTGTTTTATGTCATTGTTCTGCTCTCCGGACCTCACTCTGCTGCCAGACAGTGGGACAGCTTCACTCCTGTCCACTACCTGCTCATCACCAAACAGACAAAGCTACCGACCAGCTGTACATAGTGGAGCATTCAGCAGCTAAAGAGACAGATATTTCCCTCAGGAGCTGGTGGAGCCCAAACACAGAGCTAAAAGAGAGGGAACAGTGGACTGAGATTCATCAGGTGACACAGACATCATAACACATGAATCATCATGTTGATCTGTAACAGCTGGATGAGGAAATAGGCAGCTGTTTGCTAACATACCAGGTCATAACAACTCTGTTTACAGCTGTCTCCATCTGGCTAAAAAAGTCTGGATGTGTTGAAACACACATTTCAGATCTCTACATAGACTAAATGATTCAACGTTAACCATGTTAATAGGGAAATAATATCTCTCCAAGCATGTATGCTAACATCATGCAAAAACTGTAGCTTTGAGCAGATAATGTTTCATCAGAGGGTGTCATCAGAGCTGAGACAGACGAGGCAGAGATCATCTCAGTGGTGGAGTTAAACAACAGTGAGCAGAGACAATAGCACAAAGGTGCCATGTCGCACAAAATCCTCCAACACGACTGTGATAATGTTTCAAGTTCTTTGTTGTTTCTTGTCCCGCAGCTTTCCCTCTCAGAGGAACAAACACGGAGAAATAAATTAACATTTTTTATTGATCAACACTGTGTTGGAGGATTCTGAAAATAGCAAAATAAATCACTTGGACTGACTAATTGGATAAACTTCAGACAGAATTCATGACTTCACTGATGCTTCCTGTTCAATCCCAACAAGTATAACCAGTTTCAAAGGCAGTCAGAGCATCAACACCAGCCTCCGTCAGGATGTATAGAGGAGAGAGTGGGCAGTGGGCAGCTATATTTACAACTCTGACTAACAGCTAGCAGGAAGTCTCCCTCCACATCTTTTCATCATCAAATCTTCATCAGTTTCTAAAACACTCAGGGCTGTTCCCTGAGATTAAGAGTAGTTCTAGATTTCACAGTATAAAGTACATTAATTTAAACTGGCTTCATAAGACTCTGTGTTTAATGCTGCTACATTTAGTCTTGAATTCAGTTGTGTAATTTCGTCTGAGTAAAAGATTAAACTGAACTGCAGGTTTCTCTTCTGATGAATGTTGTCTGTCGCTGAAGGAAGACAACAAGCAGGGCCAGCTACACGAGCGCTAACTGACTGACAGGAGCTGCACACAGTCTCATTTGGATGAAATACAAGTGCTTTTCTTCAAAGAACAATATTCATATGAAGAGACTCTGAAAGTAGTCACAACAGCTCATAAATAAACAACTTGTAGTCAAATTTATGTCAAGCTACTGTAACAACAGAAAGTAGGTAACAGATGGTGAGTTGGGGCCATGCAGCTGGAGGGTTAGACGGAAGCTAGCAGCTGTGTTTTGATACTGACCTAACCCAAGTATTAAATTCAGACCTTCATTTAATATCTTTAGCAAAAATATTGTTTAACTTTATGTGCTGTTAATCAGTGCACACACATGAAAATGTACATTTATGCTAACATATCCGACAAATTAGTATATTCACACAGGACATTTGGCAATATCCAAAACGTATTATCTCAATACAGTCCAGCCCAAATATCGCAATATACAATATTATCACAATTGTGATATCTGTAACAATATAATAGAATTATATTATTGTATTTTATCTTTCAAATTGTTTTGATATTATGAAAAGTATTGCATATGACGGGAAATGATGTGATATTCGATATTATCAGGCATTTTTAACAAAATGTTTGATTTTTACAACTTCAGCATCTGCCCTCTTTAATAAGTTAAGTCAGTATAGCACAAATTAATTACACCACACATCACCTTACACGTAGACCACTTAACCTAACATCTTCTGTATATTAGCAAAGAAGGTTTTCAAACTTATGACATATCTCTCTCTGAAAGATGATATAGTAACTGTGGGTGAAGAGAAGTGAAGCTAGGCTAGAAGCTAATCTAAGATGCAAGTTAATTAGGCAGCAAATATAGGTTAGCTCCTGATGCCAAGATTGTTTCAGAAAATAGAAGGTAGCAAATCCAACATGATGTAGGCTGAGCACAGAGAGAAAAACAGATTTGATGAACAGAAAAATGAGACATTAATGAGAGTTTAAACAGAGGTCACTGACCTCAGGGTCTGAACTGAGGCCTTCTTTAGGGAAGTTGTTAAACTAATTCCATTTGATTGAGGTTTGGGCAGAGTCATGATCATTGTCAGTTTTTGCACCCACCAACACTGACCTCCAGTATGAGATGAGAGACAAAATGTGGGTCTGTTTGTTCCAAGACGTGTCCCTGCCTTATACGATATGAACATCAGGAGGTACAGTGGGTTGTCGACTAATTGCCAGGTCGAACTGTTCTTGGGCAAGATACTGAACCCATGGAGTGTGTGAATGGATGAACGTGGCTTATAGTGTAAAGTCAATACGATTATGTAAGTGAAGTCCATTTACTATTCACTCTGACAAACAAGCTCCTCCACCTCTCATTATCAGTTTGTTGTGAAATCACAGACTTCACCCGTAGTGCTGTAACTGCATGACTTAGACTCCATGTTGTTGTACTTGTGCATGAACATTGTTGTGTAACATCTTTGGATAAAACTTTACAATAAGACTACTCTTATAAAGGATTTATGAATGGTTTATAACTAGTTTATTAATTAGCTTGTTAACACTTTATAAATCATTTATAAGATGTTATAACACATTAGATAAAAAGGGCAACAGTGACATGTTGCTTGCCAAATAGTGAGCCCACATGTCTCTGTACTGTTAAACCTCATATCTCATTAGTTACTGAGCCTTCTTTGTTTTCTCCATCATCAACATTTGTAGCTGCTTCTTCATCACATGTTTGTTCAGTTACTAGCAATGAACCACCATCAGCATCTTAATGGTCAAAACATTTCATTTGGCAGATCAAATTATGGCAGATCGCATATATATATCAAATGAGCAGATTCATCCTCTGAGGCAGTGATGTTGATCTTGACATGTATCAGCAGCTGTCCTAATTCTAATCACAGCTGTTGATCAGATTGTTATCACAGTGCAGATTAACATGCAGATGCTTTCTGCTGGTTGCTCTGTTCTTTAGGACTTTAGCATCCAGCTAGAACACAGTTGATAACCTTCCTTTACCTGGTGAACTGTTCACCCATTCTTTGTCCCACTGTTCACTTCTCTGTGATTCTCCCTCTATCCATCTTCACGTTTCTGCCTCTCATTTTTACAAACATTTATAACTCATTTATGAATGATAATGGGTTTCACACTTTACAACAAGTCTCCTTTTACCAGTTTTAAATGGTATTAAGTCATTAGTAAGATTAATGAGTAGTAAGCATTAACTTGCCAAATAGTGAGTCTGCATCACTGTATAAAAACTGTGTTATAACTTGTTTATTTATGATTTATAAAGTGTTAACAACTGAACCTAATGTATATAAACTAATTATAAACCATTCATAAATCTTTGTAGGGTAGTCATCCTCACCCTAACCCATCTTGGTTATATGGTCCTGTTTGTGTCGCTCATTCTTGCAACCTGAAATATTGAGACTGTTCAGATTTGGGCTTTAAGGCAGTGTCAACATGATTTAGTGTATTTTACATAAAATCTTGTCTGGCACAGCTTTAACCTCAGTTCATTGTGTGCAGAAGCCATTTAATTATATCAACAACATTAGTCAGTATCACAGAGTCTCAGTGGAGGTTGTTGATCTGTCTCATCCATTTCTTTCCAACATCAACGTCTCTTCTAAGTCATGTGCTGCTATCAGTCTGAACTCTGTCTCTGCTCCTGCAGCTAAAACCAGACCTGTTGTGCTTTTCGTTGCCAGATTCGATCTGTCTGACAGAGACAAGTTCTTTGACAGCAAGACCAGGAGCTCAATAGTGAGTATCGGTTGAGTAGATTGAGTGTTTCCCTCCTTCAGTGTCTGTCTGCACGCTGAGCTGCCTGATGTTCACTCTTCTCCAATAAGACTTTGCTTCTGTGTTACTCTGCATGAGAAGACGACACATTTTCTGAATCTGCATCATACACGAGCTGCTTCAGTGACACACACACAAACACACACACCCACACAGCTCTTTGCAGTGCTTGTTCAGTGGGTAATGTGATTGACGTCTCATTATTGGTTGGAGCGCCTCAATCACAGCAGTCATTGGCTCCCAGCTGAGCTCCAGCTCATCAGCTCTCTGTGGAGGGCTCGATGTTTCACACTGAGCTGACCGGCAGCCTCCCTCAGGACACACACTCTAAACACAATTCCACTTGTGCTATTACACAGGCATACAACATGTTGTACACAACATCTACATCCTCCTTTTTAAGACTGAAATCATGAGATTTTAATGTTTGTGACATCAGGTCTATGAGGTACTGAAGAGGACAAGATGCACCAGAGCCAAATACTCTATGGGTGAGACCCATTTTTTGTGTTCTTTATTTGTGACTTTGCAGAACAAAAACAAGTGTGACCTGAAGGGTACACATAATGGGCAGACATGTAAATAACAACAAAAACAATAAACACTTATAGAGACGTGGAAATGAAAAGAATATGATGTGTATGAGTCTATGATATGTGTGTGAGTGTGTGTATTTTTCAGGGTTTATATGTGATGTAGTCGTATGTATCTGTGTAATGTATCTGTCTTTTGTGACGGGGAAAAGGAAAGTATAGTGGATATTAATAATGTAATATAAATTGAATCGTAGGGAGAATGTAATAGAAATAAAATAATTGAAAAAATAATGAAATAATAATAATACGAATTTATATGATGTCATGTCAATGTAATAAAAAAAAACTCTTACCACAAAAAATTTTTAATTATGATAACTACACATATTATAAAATGTAATAGAATATAATATGAAATAGTGTAGAATAATAGGATAATAGGGTGGTGGTGTATGTTTTATTTATATAATAATTCTAAACATATTTTAATAATATACATTATTATTAAATTACTTAATAATTAAAATTCAGCAATGTGAAGTCACATAGCTGATACGTATCTGACTGTAACACACAGGATCAAGTAATGTGCAGTTCATCTGGGCCCTTGTTTCATGGGAGTGTAGAGTAATTACTAGCACAGAGGACAGCAGGGTGTGTGTGTCTGTGTGTGTGTGTGTGTGTGTGTGTGTGTGTGTGTGTGTGTGTGTGTGTGTCTGTCTGTGTGTGTGTGTGTGTGTGTGTGTTTCCCCTCCTGGAGTATAATCCCCCTGGCTGTGTCTTCTTCTTACAGGGATCACCAGTCTGCTAGCCAATGGTGTCTACACGTGTGCTTATCCTCTGCATGATGTGAGTGTCAGCACCACAACTTCCTCTCCCGAATAATACTCCATAATCTGTGACTAGATGACACTCATGATTTGTGTTAAAAGCATCACTCGTACTTGATGACCAAAGTGTATTTACTGAAAATGAAACATAAACTATGTGTGTGTGTGTGTGTGTGTGTGTGTGTGTGTGTGTGTGTGTGTGTGTGTGTGTGTGTGTGTGTGTGTGTGTGTGTTTTACAGGGAGACATCAAGGAGGCAAATGCAGAACCTAACGACAGAAAGGTAAGTAGAGTCAAACCAATCAATAAATTGAATTAGATGTCACCAACACCCACATTCCATTTACAAACACTGTTTCATCAATGAGCCCAAAGAAAGCACAGGCTGAAAACCTCCCTAAAGATCTTTATGTGTTTGTTGAGCGCTGATCTTATAATGTGGGTCATTTACAACACTGAAGTTATTTAGTGTTGTTTTGTTATTTAGAGTATTTTTTTTACACTCCTTTATATTTATTTATTTTTTATTCTAATTTTGCACATTTTCATTATTATATATTTATTATTGGAGGGGCCAATTCTTTTGCTAAGGGCAAAATAATTTTGCATTGCATTGAATTTTACAAAATTCTGCACTAGAGGAGGTGAGTGCAGAGTTACCATCACCCATAGTCAGAACAGCCATAACTGTGACAATAAGACCACCTTTAAGAAGTAGAGAAATGTCCATGTAAGTGAGGGCTTGTTTCTAGTTTTGAATATTGGACCAGGACACATCACCATGGTAACTATGGAAGTACAGGTCTGCCAATATTAAAATGAATAAAATTTGTGCATATGATGTTTGGCAATAAACGCAGGAAATGTACACAAAAATCGTAAGCTCACATTATGTAACACAATACTGCACCTTCATCCTGTCACAGGAAAATGACATAATAATTCATGAACAGATCAAATTAAGGAAGCAAAATGCTTGCAAACTGTATCACCATTTTTCTTTTTGTCTAAAAATGTGTTTTATTTTGAAAGTGAAATTGTCAGTCAGTTTAGAGAGGCTTCTTCTACTCCCTGAATGCAGCACAGTACCTCAATATCTGTAGGTGACTGAAACATACCTCAGTTAGTTATATCATTCTGGATTGTTTAAGTTTTTGGGCGTCCGACCATATGAGAATAAAATTAAATAGACAACTGGAGAAAAACAAGAGCTCATGCTGAGTCTGAAGTCATCTTCTCCCCTGCAAACACTCTCCATAATTATACTGTAGGCTGTGTGTCACTAAGACAATGGCCTCTCAAACGCTTTAGTTTATATTTATATATATATATAGTAGGAATGACAATGTGGAGATTCCATAAGCTGTTTTCTCTCTCGGGCTCAGTCTGCTGTGATCTCCCTCCTGTGTCTTCATTTGTCACCCTGCAGCTTGCTGCTCTGCTGTGAATGTAGTGTGTGATTGTGTGATTGTGTTGAGTGTTGCACCATCTCACAGTGATTTATGAGCTCTTTGTCCACCAGTGGTGGAACAGTGCACGCACACAGAGCAATCATTAATGTCATTACTTTAAACTCAGAATGTCTGTAGTCAATAAGTTCTACACTACACCTGTGGGAATAAGTCAACATATATGTAATGTTATTGTATTATGACTGTGTGACCAGAACAATGCTTGGTGTCACAGTGACAGAAGACCCTGCTGGACTCTAAGATGAATGGTGATATTTTGTCCAGCCTGCAGGTTTGTTGTGATTGGAGTGAATTCTTGTCATCCACAGCCCCTCTTTTGGATGTGCGACCATTTAACTGTTGTGCTCTCACTGTGCACCACTGTGCTAGCACTGCTGACTGAGAAAGAAAATGTAACTGTGAAAACACTGCATCAGTGGATTTAGAGACAAGAAAACAACAACATAAAGTATCTCAGTCCAGTGTAAACTTAGACACATTCCCTCATTTGGTGTTTAGATGATGGTGGAGGAGAGCACTGTCTAACATATCACTCCAGCATCTCCCATAGTTCAAATGGACTGAGATCTGTGGCCAGTTCCACACAGATATGTCAGACTGCTCTGTCGTGTTGGTCCAGTCTTCATGTTGCTCATAGATCAGTCTGATGTCAGACTGTTACACACAAATACAGACTGACTCATTTTAAGACTAAAACATTAGACACCTTACCCCCAGGCTAACTCAGACCTAAGACCAATGTTACCATGTTAACAATGAATGACAGCTGCGCTGACCAGTAGCACTCAAGAATTAAGAACAGGAAAACATGGCTCATAATTTGTGCTTTGCTAACATTGTTACGGAGAGAGTAAAGAGAAGAGAAAGAGTTTTTAGACTAAATCATATTTTTCTTTTTATTGTTTCAAGTAAAACGTCCTCGGAACTGTTGAATTCTTCCTAAAGACAAACATTTTCTGCTGAGGGTAAATGGAGCCTGGAGGTTGGATGTGGTTCCTCAGCTGGCCATTTTTTTTTTTTGAAAAATGTCTGAATTTACCCAGAATTCATTGTACCGCAGTCTGGTTTAAGAAAGTCAAGAACTAAACTGATATGTGCAACAGATGAATTCAGACTCAGTCTATCGGAAGTCTGACTGTTTGTTCTATCTGAGCCACAGTCAGAGTCTGTCTTTGTGAAACCAGCTCCTGGTGACTGTGAAGCTAATAACATTCACATCATTTTCATGCTCATCAAACCGTTCATCTGTATGATGCACATGTAAATATTATAGCAGGTGTATTTGGCTCAGTTATCTGACTTAGTAAATTCAGCATAATGTATGTTTCCACTGCACTTCCTGCATTGTTTCAGCAACAGTGGTACTCACCACTCTGCACCTTTGAGTTTCTGTTGGTAACTCTTTATACTTCCTTCACATTTCACATTAAAAACCAACAAAACCAAGCTGCTGAAATTTTTCATGTGTAACATCTTTGCAGGATGTTTTATTGCCAGTAACTCAACGCTAGAATTGAAATGATTAATTGATTAATAGACTGACAGGAAAATGACCAGCAACAATCATAATCAAGTCATTCTTTACCTTAAATTGTTTAAGCTGAAGTAACAAAAAGTCAGTGGTTGCAGTGCTCTGTGACAGTGAACTGAAGATCTTGTTTTGAATTGTTGGTTAAACAGCACAATACATTTGAAGCTGTGGGAACTTGTGATTTCATAGTCCAAATGTAATCTTATTTAACTGATAAAATATCAGTAGGTTCAGTCCGACTTAACACTGAAAAAAAAGCAATGTAGAAGGAATGCAAAATCATTAGAAGATGGAAGCAATTCATTTTGTATTACAGAATATATATTAGACTGAATTTATCAAAACAAACTTCAACAGAAGATATTGTCACCAGCAGATTTACTAAAATAAGAAAGTTAGAAAACAGAAGTAATTGCGGATAAAGGCCGGTGTTTAATATATGGTGTAATACATTAACACCTTATTGACTCCTGCTTCTCTTCACAGCTGCTGTACGAGGAGTGGGCAAGCTACAGTGTCTTCTACAAGTACCAGCCTATCGGACTCATTAGGTCAGTGCTGTTGTCACACCTGTCAGGTCAATCAGGGACATGTGTCCCAGCCTCATGTCCTCAGTGTTGGGGAGTTTTGAACTACATGTCATTAAACTAGGAGTTTAACTACATTTTATAGTAACTTGCTGGTAGTTCAGCTATATTTATATGTTCATAGTTATTCAAATAGTTAAATGACTTTTTGCCATTTTTGTGTGGTTAACTACTGAAACTACAAATGTGAATGCCGTGAATTCCAGGCAATGCATTTGTCAGACAGTCCATACCACATACCGGACCTTTATGTAGTTCATGTGCAAGAGCCAAGGGCAGGTGTTGCTCAGTGCTCACACAGCTACAGCATCATCATGAATAAACCCCCTGAATCTCAGCCTGAGGAACAATCACCATGATACACATTTATGGGAATTCACGGCAATTATTCTATACAAAACCAAAGCTGACATCACTCTCCCATCAATAGTGGGGTATTTTGAGACTGTCCTGTGAAAAAAGGATCCACAGGTCGTTTGTGCAGCAGCTTATTGCAACCCATGGTTACGTTTTGTTGCTAGGTGATCTAGCGGTCGTAGTGATCACGACAGGAGCAAAGGGAAGAGTATAAAAGAGAGACAAAGTCCACATCAGGAGGAGGTTGGGGTGGATAGATTGGTCAACAAAACACAGGAATATGACACAGCAGATCGGTGTTGGATTCCCATGTGAAACCAGCAGTTTATATTGTTATTATTGTAACCATGACAACAAAGATCATCTAATATTGAGGAAGTACTTAATTTAACCCAAGTCATGATCTTTTCCTAAACCTAACCAAGTAGTTTTTGTGCCTAAACCTAACCAAGACATAACCATTATTATAACCACAGCAACGTTGAGTACGCCACTCTTGGTACAGTCGCATGTTTATTATGGTAACCATGCCAACCGAGGTCCAGTATGCATGTCGCTGTACGGATGCTATTTCAGGAGACACTCCAATGGGTTGTATGTCTTTAGGTTGGAGGACTGGTTGCGTATTTAGATATTATGACCTGTGAACATGTAGGAACTTTTTTGTAACAAACTCAATTAAGTGACATTTTTTGCTGGCATGTGACTTTTTTTGTTTTATATTTTGCTATAATTAAAATAATAATAATAATAATAATTATAACACATGTACATTGTCAATTTCAACTTTTTCTAAGTAGCTTTAGTTAAACTAGATTTCTGCAGTAGCTTTGCTATGTCTAGTAATTGGTAGCTTGAAAAGCTCTGCTCTCTCAGCAGCATTAACCGGAGAACCTTTAGGAGAAACACAGAGGACTCTCACAAGCAGAACATTGCTTGTACACTGTACTGATGTAACAGGTTATATATAATGAGCAAGACGATGCAACATGATTAAATTATCAGAGCAGCAGTTTCATAAGAGTCATTAAATCATTTTGTTTGTAGGAATGCTGCTGAAAGCAGGTTGTAGTGGAAGTGATGGTTGATGGGTAAATTATCTCCAACATCCAATGAAAACTGGCTGTAATATATGATCTAATCATATGGACCATGATGTCATTTGTTAACGGGGATGTTTTATGACCTGTGCTGTCTCCTCCCACAGGAAGTACTTTGGGGAGAAGGTTGGCCTGTACTTCGCCTGGTTAGGAGTCTACACACAGATGCTGATCCCTGCAGCCATCGTCGGAGTCATAGTGTTCCTCTACGGCTGTGCCACTGTCGACGACAACATACCAAGGTACACACACGCACTTTCCCCTTGGACCTCCCTAAAAAACATTGTTTTAGACTGGGTGTTATCAAAAATGTTTTTACAGTGGCAAGAAAAAGTAAGTAAGACAGGAGAGGCTGGTGATGCAGCAGGACAATCAAAGTAAATCTGCTACAGAATGACTTAAGCTTACTCTCAGACATGACCTCCACCACCTGCTTGCTCCAGGTGGACAGGTGAAAGAGCAGAGAGTATCAAGATGGTTGGAGGAGGAAACATCAGAGAGACTCAGCCACATGTTTGAGCCTCAGTCAGACCCAGACTCAGAGGAGGAGTCTGTTGAGACCAGAACCAGAGACTAGCAGACGGATCAGAACACTTAGTGTAGTTAGCATCTTTTATTTGTTTATGTTGTTTGTTAGCTTGTAATGGGCAGTGTCTGACAGTGTTAGTGGTCTTTCTAATGCTAACTCTCTCTATACTGACAAGGTTTCATGTTTATTTAGCCCCGCTCCCCGTTCCTTAGGTTTGTGACGTATGAAACCCTGGCTGTCTGAATCTGTATTTATGAGACTGTCATTGGTTCACTGCAGTTCAAGGTGGAAACACTCAGTCATGGTGCTGATGATTATTTTTATCATCATATGTCTATTATATAAAAACATCATATGTGTTATGTCCCTTAGTTGGAGCTAGGGGTGACAGGAACCGTAACGTGACAAATCAAGAATTAAACTGAGTCAATGAGTACTAGAAGGTAGTTTATTGCACCCTGAAGGTCTTAACAAGTCAATCAAATGTGGGGGAGGAAGGGACAAAGTTGGGGTGCCAAAGAAATTAACCCAATAAAACAAAATGGGGCCTCAGCTATCTTCATCTACTGAAACAAAAACACATAAAAGAAAATCTATCTACCTAATCTAAGAAAAGAGCCTCCAAAACAATACAGCAGGTGGCACCCACCACTAACCTAATGTTTCTAGACAAAGGAAAACTGCGTGTTGAGATGTACAGGGTACCCCAACTCACCTAACTCCTTCCTCCCACCACATACCTTCAGTACATCCCTTTTACATGAACACAACTGGCAGGCTTATCACTATCTGGCAAAATGAGAGAGATCTCCTGATTTAGGCTCCCCTTTTATTGGAGGACTCGAGGCAGATGATTGGCCACTGGGACAGCCAGGAGCTCAATAAGCCATCCTCCACTAGACTGCTCAGGTGGAGCCCAATCACCAATCAGCACCTGGAGGGAAACCAAGTGAAGGAGAGACAGAGAGAGAGAGGGAGAAAACAAAAACAAACAGCCTGCCCTTGCCTGGCACATAACAATATGGATGTTAACAAGGTGAAACAGTGGAATTTAATTAGAAGGGGTCTTTAAGACAAAGTAAATCCACCTTCTGGAGTGGTCCAGTCAGAGCCCAGACCTTCATCCTGTAGAGATGCTGTGGACTGAGCCCAGAGAGCCGCTCACACCAGACATCCTGAGAATCTGTCTGAGCTGAAGCAGCTCTTTAAGGGAGAAAGGTCCAAACCTCCTCCTGAACACTGAGCAGCTCTGATCAGCAGCTACTGGAAGAGCTGGTTTCAGGTTATTGGAGCCAAAGGAGTTTCAACCAGTTATTAAATCCAAGGTTCACTGACTGTTTCCACCAGCACTGTGAATTAATGACTTAATTAATGTTTAATGGCTGTGTTTAATAAAGACACAACGTTTTAATTGTTTGTGTTATTAGCTCAGGGACACTGTTTGTTTACACGTATGACTTGATGAAGATCAGATCAGATTTTATGAGCAGTTAATGAAGAAAAACCAGGTCATTCAGAGGTTCACTAACTTTTTACGTATGTTGTACAGGTCCAGATATGAACCTGAGGTTCAGCTCCAAATGAAATAATATATATCATATTTTTTAAGACTGTATGATATGCAAACATGTTCTCAATTGTCAACAAGAGTTTTGCATAAATAAAACACAGATTAAACTGATTGAAATCAGAGACTGTTCAAAGAATAAGACTCTGACCAGACATTTCATAACAGCTTTGGAACAGTTTTCAATACATGGTGATGTGGACACACTTTTGTAGGCAGCAAGAAGTTCAGAAAACAATTGACATCATTTATTGAAAAACATATTTTCTCTCTTTTGCCTTGTGGTTTGTGTCAATAATCTTTTAGTTCAAAATATGATATTTTACAAAACCGGGTCACCTGTTTCCTGTACAAATTAAACTGTTGCCAGAATCAGTGGCAGGTGTTTTCAAAATAAGAGTTGAAGACTCAGTAGCAGAGAATATGACTTGTTGAGATGGAGATGTCTGCAGTGTGGAATCTTGATGGTAAACATCAGACTTAGACCACACCTGCTAAATGACTCCACCTTTTCCCATAATCACATACTGAAGCTGTAGGTTTATTGCCACACTAACTCATTACAGACAGTACATGCTCAGAACTTGTCTGTTGATGTTTGGAAATATGATGATACAGTAAGTTTAATGAGGCAATAGAAATTTCAACCTTGAGAAATTGTACTGTTTATGCTGCAGTAACTTTCCCTTTAATGTCTGTGAGAGTATGAGGCTGTGATGTGCAGTGACACATCAATGAGCCGGACTATCTTATAAGCTCTGAACCCAGTGGATCATTTTATATTGCCATAAGAGTAATTTTGATATAAAGAACTGCTGTAAATAAGATTTTTAACAGGCAACAAGCAGAAGTCCTCGTTCTTCACATTTAAGTAATAACATGTTTGTTTTTTCCTTGTAATCTGGAACTTTACTCCAACTCTTTGAATTCTGCATGTCCTCCTCCACCTCTGTGTTGTCAGTATGGAGATCTGCGATCCCAGGAACAACATCACCATGTGTCCGCTGTGTGACCGCGCCTGCAGCTACTGGAAGCTGGTGACTGCGTGTGGTACAGCCAGAGCCAGCCACCTGTTCGACAACCCAGCTACCGTCTTCTTCTCCATCTTCATGGCCCTGTGGGGTGAGGGCTCGTTCACACTGATCATTCAAAACAGAAACTAAAGGGTGCAGTAAAGACCAGTAGATGAGTAAAGTGTTACACATACAGGTCGTGCAGCTGAGCATCAGTGGATCTGATCTCGTTCATAGACGGTAGAATTTAATCCCTTCAGTTTAGGTTTAACAGAAAACACGGACACTGCTCAGGAAATCTGCAGTAAGAGTCCACAAAGATAACTTGTGAGTAAACACAGCCGGGCTTCCTCTGATGTCCTGCCAGGACTCGCTGCCATCTGTCAGCAGCAGCAGGGCTTCACGTCAGGGAGGTGTTCTGTGTTTAGCTGAAGCTCGAGTCTGACAGAGACCGCCATCTGCATTCACCTGCTGGAGACCTGATGAGGGAGAGTGCCATGAGACTGTGTGGAGGCATCCTCATTGAAAAACTGCATCACTGCCTTAAGAAAAAGAATGTGTGTATGTGGACAAACAAAAAGTAGTTCATGTGTCCTGTGTATGTGTCACCATCTGCTCTGGTCTCCAGTGTTGTCCAACAACTATTAAACTATTATTCACACTGAAGTAATTCTGTTATCGTGGAGGAACCCTGTTTATAGAATGGTTAAAAAGAAAAAACAATCAACTCATTATCAAATAGTCACTTTATAGTCAGTTTTATATTTTTAGTATATTTTCATGTGCAGATTTTCACATTTATCTCAGATATTTTAGATACAGATACCACATGTTCAGAAATGCCGAAATATGAAAGAGTGCACGTTCACACAGTGGTAGTTAAAGTTTAGATGAAGTAGACTTGAAGTAAGAGTGTGTTTGCTGTGTCTGTCTGGTTGTAGCTGTCCTCTTCATGGAGCACTGGAAGAGACGACAGATGCGACTCAACTACATTTGGGACCTGACTGGCTTTGGAGAGGAGGAGGAGGTGAGACACCGTCACAAATCACTGTTTCATCAACCTGAAGGATGTACATCCACAGGTGTATGGCTGAGAACAACAGCTGGACCATTTGGAAAATAAGATCACTGGGATGCCCCGATCACTTATTTTTTGCCACCAAAACCGATCATCTGTGGGTGAGATCGGCCGATCCACGGTCAATACCGATCATCTTTGTCATGCATTGCAGATGACGAACGTTATATCAGTCTCACACACTTTGTAAAAGTTCAACACGGCCGACATGTTGGAAGCGGGACTACACTACACAGCACACAGTGCTTCTGTCAGCCCAGACACCAGAGCATTAACCATAGGTGATCGGGTTGCAGGTGATAGGAGACTAGAAGCAGTCATTCTGATGAAATGTTTTTAATGAAAACCGTCTGATTATGATCGACGGCCGATCAATCAGGGCATCCCTAAAGATCACTGGCTATCTTGCTGAGAGTTATATGTCCAGATTAATTCCACTCTCATGCTGAATATGAAACTACAGCCAGGGGTAGGCTACCGTGGCCCCGAGAGCTCAATGCACTGCAACTTAAGAAAATACATGCAAAGTGACAAAACAACAACAGAAAAATCTTCATGAATTTGACAACACATGCTTTGCAAATAATTGTTTCCAGGTGACACTTAAAAGTGATGAACCTGGCTGGGATGCACTTGCAATACATCCATGTGCACTTGTTCAATACTTTTAACTTCAAAAGTCACAAAGCACAGACACATTAAACCAGTGAGATATAAAGTGTCAGTCAGAGAGCTTTGAGGTGTTGGTTGGTTTAATTCTGAACCTTTAGATAGAGCCAGGCTAACTGTTTCCTCCTGTTTCCATCTTTATCCTCTGTTAAGCTAAGCTAATCAGCTGCTGGCTTCAGCTTCATATCTAGACATAAGTGAACACAAATTACCTTTATACCTGAAGTCACTTCTGTGCTCATCCTTTCATTGTGTGAGCCATAATGTCTCATTTCAAATTATATTCTTATAACAATAAAGGAAAACTGAAAATAAATGAGTCAAAAAATGTAACGACACTGAACCCCAGTCTCCTGGGTGAAAATCTCACCTGACCTCACCTTCAGGTATTGTTAAAAGAAAAACCTGCCTCTCCCTCCTCATGACTGTCTCACTCTCTCATCTCCAGCCGCTCATGTTTCATCACAGATTTCCAAACTGAACCATGTGTTTGTAAAGACTCTTAACGACACATTTATTAACGGGAAGATGTTTCTCACTGCACTTAAAAGCACAATCACAGAGTAATGAGGCTGACACACAGGCAGAGGTCAGGATGTGCATATGAATGTACCTCTGTCTTTTGTGCAGTGACTCAGCCTTCGTCTAAATTGTTCCCACACAAACAGCCTCAGAAATGAGAGCTGAACGTCCTGTTTTTTAAAATCATAATGAAAAGAAAACAACTGTATTTTAATGGAAAAGTTTCCCTCTTTTCATAGATACTATGTTTTCATGTTCAGAGAGGATGACAGCTGACTGACCACGTTTCCTTGTGTTTTTGTGTGTTGTCTTTTACAGGAGGAACATAAGGTTTGGATCAAACTTTACTTCCCGCCGTCTCATATTTAAACTTCTTCCTTGAAACTTCCTGTTTCAGATCTGTTCTGCGGATGCTGTTTCCTAACACCAAACCTTTCTCCCTTGAGGTGTCTAACAGTAGCTCCTCTCTTTTTCTTCCCGATGTTGGTCGTCCTGTGAGCTCTCAACATCATACTGTTACTGTTGTTTGTGTCCTCTGATGGCAGCACAGCTCCTGCCTCTCTCTCTCTCTGCTCCATGGGCCTCCTTGACTTGTCTTTTTAAGGTGTTTCCCTGTTAAAACAGGTACTACTCTTTCCTCCACACCTATAAGATAAGCATCACACACAGTCTCAGAGTGAGGATACCAAAGAAGTAACTGAACCTCAGCTGCCCTGATTGTTCAGGAGCAGGTTTTAATTCAAGAAAGATAAACCTGCTGGAACATTTCCTCCTTCAGTAACTGAAGTTTCCTGGATGGAGAGGCAGTACATGTTACAGCCTCAGTGTTCCTCAGCCTTCAGTCCTGAAGATGCAGGTTCCTGCTGGAACACGAGTTGAGGTTTTTGTGTCCTGACAGCACAAACACAAACTCCTGGCGATTGAACTCCTGTTGAACCTGAGGGATGGTTAGTTTCCTAGCTCCTCGCAAATAGTGCAACATAATTTATATTACTAGTATAACTATGTCAGCTGATGGAAGGTTCTTGTAGTTTATTGAATAATGAACTAATCACAGCAGTGGTTATCAAGGAGACCCCTTTGTTCAGGTTTCTCCTCACCTGTAAAAGCTCATAAATCCACAGTCATGCAGGAATATGAAGTACCCACATAGTTTACCTGGTCCAGTCTGTGCCCTTGGCTCACCCACATGGACATGTGGACTGGGAGGACAGACATGTCAAAGCCATACATTTCTCAAAAACTCTAAACTCCACACACACTTGAACTGATAATCATTCTCTTTACATGACCACAGGTGTCCTGTCACTCTCAGCTCCTTCAGCAGCTCAGTGGTTTGGTTTCTGTTGCTGCTGCTCTGAGCCCGTGTCACCACAGCTGTACACAGAGTCTGAAACACTGAGGTCCAGAAGCTGAGTTTGTTATGGAGGCTCAAGGTCACAAAATACTGATGTCACTAATCTACATGTGAGCATTTTAAGACGTTTGGAGGAGAACATTGTAACGATAACAGCTTTAAAACCACTTCAGTGGAAATGATGTGTCTCAAACAGAAGATAAAGGTCAGCAAAATGTGTTTTATACAATCATTTATTTATACAACGAAACTAAATGATGATGCTGTAATTATGCTGGATTTCTGTTGTTGATGAATTGAGCCTTTAGGTTACACAGTGATTATCAAAGAACATGTATCTCTGTGGTAATCAGGCCTGAATGTGATATGTTTGTGCTGAACAGCACAGGGACATAATGTTAATGTGTCCCTCTCGTGTGGATGTTCATGAGTCTCACTGCTGCCTGAAGAGCTGGTGAACAAACCAGAGCAGAGACAGAAGGGAGTCAATGTTTGACTTTCTTTCATCGAGTGCACAAACAAAGCTCTGTCTGCTGATGTGAAATAGGTGTTTACTAATGTGTTCACCATATCTTTATGAAGTGTCAGTGTCTCAGTGTCGTGTTGTCAACTTGTTACAGGGTCTCAGAGTGAGCAGAAGATCAGCAGCAGAATGCAGGGTTACGATGAGTTATGAGGACTGTTGGCTGTCTCGTCCTGAGCTGTGTTTAAAACGATTCAGTTTCCTCTGCTGACTGCAGCCAGAGGCTGCCGTCAACTCTCCTCTGGCTGCATATTACATAACATAAAATATTCATGTTATATTCCCCCTCACCATGACAGCATTATTTGACAACAAATTTTGGCACAAAGTCTACTCGCCACAGTGTGGAGCTATGTGTTTTAAATGGTTAACAGCTGGAGTTAGGAGGTAAACATCTGAACCAGAGACAGATCATATCAGTCTCTGTGTGTCCACCACACACACACACACACACACACACACACACACAGGTTCAAGTTACCTGATGTAGAAACAGGTTTCTCTACTGTTCGGGTTCAGGTGTTTTGGTTATTGATGAGAAGCTTCTTCACACAGAAAAATTAGCACGAAACTCAGACTGTGTCCAGCAGCTTGAGTTTGTGTGAATTTAAAGATAAATCTACAGTTTCTGTTTAGTTTTCTATTTAATCTTTTCGTGGTGAGTCAATGCTTTTCTCTCTCTTCTTGCACTTAAATGCACCGTGCTCACTTCACAGTCTCTTGACTGTCTCTACTGTCCTGTTCTGTGACTGCTCACTAACACAGAGTCGCATCAGTGACTGTAACATCTGGACGTGTTTCTCTTCCAGGACCACAACCGTGCAGAGTATGAGTTCCGGGTCATGCAAAAGACAATGAGGCTGGAACATTCAACCCCCAAGGTAAAAATGATTCAATCTAATTTTATATCAGTTTTTAAAGTGAACATGTTCAGTCAGATGTTATTGTTCCATTTCCTGCCAAAGTTTTATTTACTTTTATGATGTGTTTTTTCATTGGTCTTCCAAGTGTTATTTCATTTGATCCACTTGGTGATTGATCATTGATTAGTTGAATACAAATGGTTCCTTTTCTGTTAAAATCACTGTCTGAACAGATCCAGTTAAAACACTGAGGGTCTATTGAGGATGATGTTTCTCTTCAGGTCAAATATTTACATCATTTAAAGGTTCATTTGGTGGTTTACACATGTAAATGTTTGTCTTAGTAACTGTTACTGTCTCTGACATGGCTGCCAATCATTTTCTTAATCTTGCCATTAGTTTTATATATATAGCCCTGCAGAGCTCAGAACCTCCACAGGAAAACTGTAAACAACATTGTTGTAACTGAAGAGTTATGAGGACTGTTTCTGAAAAAGTTAGGAAGGTAAACTGTGATTTATGAAACAAAAGTTGGCATAACGTGTTGTTGTCTTACCCAGAGTCAGGTGGACGTCAGTCTGTGTGTGTGTGTGTGTGTGGTGAAAAGGTTCCAAAGGGAACCTTTAAACCACAGACATCTCAGATGTTGGAGTTTCCTAAACACTCAAACAAAGTGACTTTCTGCTCCCAGCTGCGTCACTGCCCAACAATAATGGACTGAGACACTGTGGATTATTATAGTTTAACATCTGAGCTTGTTGATTTTCTTAACAAAGTGAAATGAAGTGAACCCAGTGGAAACCAGATCAAAACAGATACAATACTATTATTATTATTATTATTATTATTATTATTATTATTATTAATATTATTATTATTATTATTATTATTATCATTATAAGTTACTGTTTACACAGTGTGAAATACAGCAGCTCAACATTTAATATCACACTCAATCCACCACTTTGTTCAGATGCAACATCTCTGCTCTACAGTCAGCTGCAATGAAAACAAGGTTTTATTGTAACATTTCATCTTGAGCTGCATCTGGAGAGAAAGACACCAACTGAAAATGATATATGAAAAGAATCCAATTATTTAAGCAGGGCTCCTCTTATCCAGGCTCTCTGCTGATCTCACTGCACCAACTACACTGTTGGTCACCAGCTAATGGCAAAAGAAATCATTTGATCAATTATTTCATTTGATCATGAGAGAAACAGAGTTTTTTTTTTAATAAAAATCTTTCATAAATCATTATTACAGCAGGTTGAAATACTGAGTCCTTCACTTCCTGACTCCTTTAACAGGAAACACACACTCAGCTCTGACCAGTGGAGCAATACAAATCTGTGGCGTGTGTGTGTGTGTGTGTGTGTGTGTGTGTGTGTGTGTGTGTGTGTGTGTGTGTGTGTGTGGTGAAAATCACCGACATATTTAACATGACGTGTCCTGGAGGACATTCAAGCGACTATCAGCCTTTAGACTTTTATTTTGTACCAAGGTCGCATCTTCCTTTTCATCAGATACACAAGCGGATACACACACACAAACACACACACAGTCACTTTGGCTCTCTGACCCAGTTCTCAGTTGGCTTGAATGTGACACGATGGCTTGGGGCGTGATTAGCTTTGCTCCATTGGAGCCACATAGTATATGTGTGTGTGTATTTATGGTGTGTGTGCTGTGTACATCTGTGTACCCAGGGCATAAAGAGCTGCTGCTGACAGGAGAGTGTCATGAGGCTGTGGCAGCAGAAACACACACATTAACACACTCACAGCTGGAGATTATATTCATGTTACAGATACATACTGTGTACTTTATGTGTGTGTGTGTGTGTGTGTGTGTGTGTGTGTGTGTGTGTGTGTGTGTGTGTGTGTGTGCGTGTGTGTGTGTGTGTGTGTGTGTGTGTGTGTGTGTGTGTGCGTGTGTGTGTGTGTGTGTGTGCGTGTGTGCGTGTGTGTGTGTGGTGTAGGGTGAGAAGGTGAAGCTGACGTGTACAGACAGACTGCCAGCTTACCTGACGACTGTGATGATGATGTTCTTCCTGGTGAGTTTCACTCTCTCCATCCTCACTGTGTTTCCTCTGAAGCAGTGATGTAATGCTTCTTGTTCATGTGATCAAACACCTGTCTGACTCAATATCAATGAAAACACATTAACGTTTAGCGAACCATTAGCCATTTATTTCATATGTTTTTTTCTGGTCTGTTAGCTGGTTCTATTCTTGATTTGGTTCCTGGTTCCAAAATGCTAACAAATCCCTTGTTGAACATTTTATCTCCTTTTCCTTTTTTATCAGCAGAGATTAGCTGTCTCATTTTCAGGTTGATGCACTCGATGACCCTAATTAAGGGATTCAAAACTCTTTCTCTTCTTCAAATTTGATAGGTGGATTTGATTCTGTTTGCTGTGTTTACTACAATCAGACTTCATCACTGACTACTAAATAATAAAAAGGAAAACAATACCTCCTTTTGTTGATTCAGTTGAGTTTTTATGTCCATTTCTATCAGTCTTTGTATCATATCCTACAGTCTTTGTATACTAGAGTCAGTCAGTCAGTCAGTCAGTCAGTCAGTCAGTGGGTTGTTTCAGAGTCATCAGGTTCTGTAAATGTGGAACAATACAACAATGTATTCACATAAAATGTACTTTTGAGTACTTCAGTGTTTTTAAAATCAAGTACTCCAGTACTCTGGAGTAATCTGACTGAACAACTTTCACGTGTAATGGAGTCATATTTGACCAGGAGGATCTACACTCTTACTCCAGTAATAGAGCTGTGGACTCTGTCTACCTCTGTTTGTCTGGTACAGCCCAGAATCACACATTGTACACCCACCTTGAAACTGATGTCAAGCAGACCCACACCCACCTGAGCCTTAAGGCCAAACCTGAAACCCAAATAGGTTATATTTTCTTATTCCGTCTTCAGTGAGAGATAAAGGCTTCCTCACAAATGAATGTATTGGGCCTCTGCAGTGAAGAAGGAACAGAAAAACACAAGTGTCCTCTGAGAGCTAAAACCATTTCTCTGACGTTACATGTTTACACTCATCAAACTTCCTGTTGATTGTTCAGATTTGATAAAGTTTGATAGGTTGAATGTTTTGAAAACTGCCAGTATGAAAACAGGAAGTTGATCCAACAGACTTTTCACTGAGTGTCACCTACACAGACTCTTGATCAGCAGATGTTAGACCTGTTCTCCCCCTCTTCCTCCTCCACTTCCTCTCTGGTAGATCATTGTGACCTTTGCCATAGTCTTTGGGGTCATCCTGTACCGGATCAGCATTAAGGCAGCCCTGCACATTAGCACCTACCCTGCAGCACGATCCAACATCAGAGCCACAGTGAAGACCACCGCCGCCATCATCAACCTTATCATCATCATCATCTTAGATGAAATCTATGGTGCCATTGCCCGCTGGCTGACAACACTGGGTGAGGAACATTTCACTGAAGATACTCAGACTCTAGTTTCTACAGAGCCACCTGATCAGAGGGGTTTTCATACAAACAAAAGTGAAAATGTTCAAATGTAAATGTTTAAGTCTCTGTCTGCTCAAGTGTGTTTGTGTGTGTTCTTCCTTCACTCTGATGCTTGAGTGTGTGCAGAGTCTCTCTGAGCTCACCTTAAATCTAATTTAGCAAACAAACACCTCAGCAGGAGACATGTTGGTTGTTGTTATTGACTCTTGAATTTACCATCCATCCATTATCTAATGTACCGGCCTAGCCTTAACAGGGGTTTGGCACGGGTGCTGGAGCTGATCCACAGCTGACATTGGGCGAGGGTGGGTTACACCTGGATTCAGGTCAACCAATCTAATCACAGGGCTGACATAATAGAGAAAAACACAACTTGTCACACACATTCAACACCCTATGGGCATTTAGAGTCACCAATCACCTAAACCTACATGGCTTTGTAACGTGGGAGGAAGCTGGAAGAACCCCGCGCAGACCAGGGGAGAACATGCAAACTCCACACAGACAAACCCAGAACCTTAATCGTTGTGAGCAACAGGCGCCGACCACTGTTTACTACTGTGTCACCCCTGAATTTACCATACACTGCATTTTTTTTTTAACATTCACACTATTATAAACTCAGTGGGAAATAGTGGAAATGGCTGTTGATTTTTCATTTCATTTCAAAGAATATTGGGATCTTATGAGAATCCATTACGAAGTATTCATTTCTAATGGTGTGACCTTAGAATTATTTCATTTTATTATTATAGGTCAGGTTGCAATTTATGAGTTTGAGAAATATTCGCACGTTCTTGTTTTGATTTATATAGATTTACACTGATTGTTTTTCAGATTCGTCATCAAGTATATGTTACACGATTGACTGATTCATTGTTCGACATGCTGTGATACAGTGACCATTGTAACATCGGTTAAGATGATAGTTGTGTCAAATCTTAGCCACTAATTTTCAGACACACACTGCGCCATAATCGTAGAGATGATTAGGGCTTTAGTAGTCATTAAAGGAAACAGTACAGGTTCTTGGAACCATAATCTAATGTTATCTCTCATACCGGTCTTTCATTACATTTTGAAAATGTAACAACAACACAAGCTACTGCAAGGACCGAGAGGCACATATGAAGATGATGACAGAAGAATGCCGTTATTGAATTTATAAATGAGGTCTCTCACTAATGATTTATGTTAACATTTTTATCCTAAGTTCGGATTGTGGCCAGAACTGCTGGTCTGTTATCTAAGCCTAGAATCTCTATACGGCACAGATAGAACGAAGCACGAGTTAATTCATGGGTCTAAGCAAAAGGGAAGTAGCGTTCACTAGACGGATCGTATTTAAAAACGAAGGCGAAAAGCATCTGAGCTAATAGCAATACAGACTTATGCAGAACAGGTGATTGCATCCGACAAGTGTGAGCAAAATTGACTACATTAGTCCTTGTGGCAAAACCAACTTTGACTATACAATTCCAGGAAATGTCCTGAAACGCTGCTCCTCTTGCCGCATTCTCTGAATTCTCTCCAATAGTGCGTCATTGTATGGTTTATTTGGAGAGATAGAACAATTGAGTCACAGCTAGATATTCCCAACTATATTAGATCCACACTAGTCATTATATTAGATAGATTGATTGTGAATTAATATATTAAAGAAGTAGACTCACAGTGTCAGTTGGAGTAAATGGTTACAGGGTGTATCTACTCATGTTATGATAGAGCGCTTGATGAGTCTTGGTGTCGACTAGGTATGTCAGACCTGCTACTAGTATTGTAGACCGTTCAGGGGTGTCACTTGTTCATAGTGTAGGGAGGAATTGCATGTGTAATTCTCTCAGGTTCAGGCCGGCTCGGTCCGGACGCGTTATCGAGTGTGTTACTTGCCAGCGTGGTAGTCGCGCACCGAGTACACCGCTGAAGAACGATCATGGGCCGGCGTGAGAGGGACCGTACACTAGGTGATGGGTTGGCTGGTCGGGTGGAGGTAGCACAGGGAATAGTTGTTGCCCTCCTCAGCCTTGGGTCACGGGAGTATGTGGGTGATGGGAGATGTGTGCTTGGCCTGCCGAAGCCTTCGATAATAGTTGGTCTACATTGGCAATATAATTGTATATCAGGCCAACTGTGTTATATTAGATTCACTTCGAGTGACCTCGGTGGCCAAGTAAAGTGTAATCACAACCACCCTCCGCTCCAATGTTCAAAACCTTCCACTCAACACACACACTTAAGCCCAATTTGGAACAGTGTTGGTGTGTCCAAGCCTGAGAGATCCAGCTCGAGTCCATCACCGCGTGCTAACCTGGGTGGTAGGACTCAGACGGTACTAGCGTTAGATAACTTAGTAGATAGCCGACACAGTTTAACATATACCACAGAGTTCAATAACGGAATTCAGCATCACTCTCTACGGTAACACTAAGGCATGGATGGTAGATATATTGTATTAGACTCGCGATTTATCTCACATGCATCCTTATTATTTTGAAAGAGAGGTTTTGATTGCATAGCGAGTGACACGACAAAGATCTTAACTGTAGACACACCATACTAAGCTATTCTGAGATGTTATATTTGGTTTATTTATTGTATAACACACACAGACCACACGTATGCAGGACTTAGCTACTGACCTACAATTATTACAATAACCTAATTTATAGACAACAGCAATCTTTTCATCTTCCATATAAATGTTTGAATGGAGACATTAGAATTCTCTCCTTTCTGATCATGTGGTGAGATCTCTGTTTATACGTGGAAGAGCTCTATTTCTTAGAGTTAGTCCGGTTCATGCAATTGTGAATCTGTCACTTCACGCTTACTTTCGTGTCAGCCTAGCACGCGCGAATATGGCACACTGATCAAGATGGTGTGCATTACTAAGTATTCGACGTATAGATAGACATTGATCCAAGGAATGTCAGTGAGGCCGATTTCGCGTTGATTCGTCGTTGGGTGTGTTTCTTCACTGTGGCTCTGTACATGTTGGATAACGATCTAGCTTTGCAAGAGGCTAAGGTTATGCTTATGATATGCAGATTGCAGCTGACTTTCATTAAATGCTTGCTTCTAGGAACTAGATTTTAGAATCCAAATTATGAATATACTCGAATTTGATACTAAGAGTTATCGATTTATAGTGATTTCTTCTCTTCTAAATGATCTTTTTGGCATAGGTTCTATTAGGGCATTCTCAAAGTAGAGAGAGTAGGAAGACTGAGAGAAGGCAGGAATGAACATGCCTCTCATCTTACATGTTGGACATCGATACTCACCAGGCAACCTTGGTAATGACCAGGACAAATAACCAAACCCCAGTTTGAGGCCTATAATGGCAGCTCTAACACTCTTAGGTAGTGGAGTGCAGCACTTTCAAGCGGATGCTCAAGGAGCTATTTCGGTGTTGTGGTAATGGCACTCTCAACCTCATGCTCTGAGGTTTTCATACTGGGAATTTGTAAGAATTCAGGGATACAACTACGTACAGTCAAGCTCTGAGTATAGAAGATGCTCACTCTTTATACAGATGTGGCGAATCAATCAACAAGGCAGCTCTTCGACTAGCGACGCATCGTCACCAGCAATTGTAGAGCACAGAGGATGTTGGAGAGAAATGGAAATCTTTAGCACTCCTCAGAGCCGCCACTATTCTGTGTATGGTGGTGGTCTTTCTCTGTGATTACTTCCATCTCTCTCTTCATGCTGGACAGAGGCCGACATTACATTATTTGACTGACGGAAGCCTTTATCTCATCACTCAGAAGACGGAAATTACACTGATAAAGTGAAGGGTACAGGTAGCTCTTAATTATCGAAGAACGCTAGGCAACATATTCATCATTCTATTACATGCATTCATTATCTCTCACTACCCAAGCATGCATTCATATGTTTAATTTATATTAATCTTTTTATGCTCTTCATTTTAATTTCAATCCACATAATTATGATGTATCATGATGGGAATAAAGATCTCACAGATCAGATGAAAAATATTTGTTCACAATCAGTATATCATGTGATTGCTCATGGCCTTAAGGCTCAGGTGGGTGCTCAGGTTTGCCTGACTTGACATCAGATATTCACTGCGTGAGAGTGTCACTTTCCAATCATGTGTTTTGATTTCTCAGTTTGAGTTGCCCACTTTGATCTGCAGCAACCACACAAGCACGTGTCACGAATTGACATGGACCGAATGTCTACATTACTTAAATAGTTCATGGTTTGACTGGATTATTTAGATGTGGAGGATTTGTAAGAATAGAAGTGTCAGTAATGTATCACGCACTCTAGTCACATTTAATTAATAAATTATAGTTGAAACCTCTCAGATTCACACACACGAGTAATGTGTTGATTCTACCTAACAGCTCACATTAGAACCACAGGATCATGCTCAGGAGTATATCTACGCCTATAAGAGATGAGCTTGAGTATAAATTCTTAATTGAACTCTTCTTATTCTACAAAGCACTAGCTAACTGTAATATGTCACTTGCGAAAAGTAATTTTCCTGATTCTGATCATATTAGAGAGATTTGACTTTGATATCAGTAGCGTCATGCTGGGAATTTAGCATTCCCCATTGGTTGGGGACACCAACCCCATCAGATTGCTCCCTACTGGTATCTCTGCTCTCAACATGGGGATCTTTCTTGGATGTAGGGCTCACAGGTCACACCGCACTTGAACTTTGCTAGGCTCTCTGACAGGCAACACACACTTTACGACCGCCCTCGGCTGTGCAACAACACAATAAAGACAAATACTGTAGATCTCTTAGTTTGAGCTCTATTGACTGATAAAAACCTACCGAGATTACTCTGACATATAGAAATCATGGAGAGCTCTTTGTTCTATGAAATTGGAATATACTAAAGTTTTCCTCCCACTTCATATCCTGCCTTCCTGGGGAACTCTCCAAGATTTCCTCCACTCTGTTC